AATCAATTTTAAAATGACTTTGTTATCGAGCGATGTATGAAGTCGTGCATGACAATTAAGTTTTCTTTGAACCTCACATTTCCATAATATTTTCTCGTCGGTTTTATGATCCAGTATATAACAAAAATCGTTCAACAGTAAAGGTGTCCCTTTACTTGTTTTAGATATAGTGACCATATTTACGATTAAAACAAAATGACTGTACAGACTGTTTGCTGTATCTCCCTTATATAGTCAAGAAAGAAATGTACCTGTAATGTAATCTCCGATAGAATACTGTTTTTTTCCTAAATTGACAACTGACACAAAATCATCATCCCGCTATAAATAAAAGGAAATTCATCAATTTGTCAGTTGATCAAATCGAAATTTCTTTTCTATTGATTGAATCAATTTGTCAGTTGATTAAATCATATTTTCTTTTCTAGCTGAGCAACTGTCCGTGTGAGCAAAGGTACATATGAGGAACCGTCCACGTGAGGAAGTATCCTTGTGAGGAAGTGAGGAAGTATCCTTGTGAGGAAGTGAGGAAGTGTCCATGAGCTACTGTCCGTTTCCCAACTAACCGAATCCAGAACTATATCATCAACAGAAGCTTTTTGTGGAGATAACATCAATACTAGTGAGAAAGGGTATTTTTTCTACGGTCTATTCAACCAGTCCCTTTTAGGAGATTGAATAACTTTCGAATTGAAATTCGAACTTTTCGGAAGATGCTGGAAATGTTTTGTTTTCACCTTAATATATCAAAAAATAATTCTCTATACGAATATTACAGTCACAGGCACACTAAGTCGTTAAAAACGAAAGGAAACTCAAGCGTTTTATCGTGTCTTTTGTTCACCCAAATCGTGTATTTTTTTCACCTAATTTTTTAGACATATGTCTCATGATAAAAGTAGTCTGTATGAAGCTTAATCGGTAATCGACCAAGCTAGCAAAAGTAAACCCCAAAACTGTCCTTTTTTCTAGCATGTTTGTAAATGTGATAATTGAGTAGAGCATAGTCTTTTACAAATGATAGTGAAAATAGAATATTTTTTGCGCCTTCCATTCGAACGTTATTCAATTCCCCAAAAGAGGCCGTTTATTTTTGAATAGGTTCAATGTTTTTTTAATGTAGTGTGTTAAAAATAGATAAGAATACGTACCGTAATGATAAAAATACTAAATGGACCTGTACTTAATCTTTACTAAAATAAACTACAGTTAATAAAGCTATTTGGTGCTCTTATAATTTTTTACAGAAAAAAAATAATCGTTTTTAATTAAAACTTTTCCTTGTAGGAAAGAAGCAGTTCTGTTGAAATTCTAATGATACGTTCTAAAAGAGTAGGTTTCAGGGGATTTGAGAAATTATCTAGATCAGTACCGTATAGCTATGAGCTTTTGAGCCACCTCGATTAAAAATTGAAAATAATTTCCATTTGCCAACTTCGACAAATGAATACTGTCTCAATATTATTCTATTCTTTGATGTCACGTCTCATACATTTAGTGGTGATAAACTAGTGCATGTTCAACTGTATATTCAAAAGATGTTGTTGAAAATAGAATTATTAAAAAGAAATCTATATTATATTTCTTAAAATATATATCATCATCAAATCGGATCGAATATTAGATGTTCAAAAATTGTACAATTATTTTAGTCAATGTGGTAATTTTAATCATTGTAGAATTTAATGGATGTAAATTTTGCGTTAATACTTTGGTTTTCGAAAATTCAATTATATTTGATTTGTCTTTGGATACAGTATGTTTGTATGATCAAACTCATGAAGACACTGTAGAAGAAGTCACACATATTTTAGAAAATTTGCGATTTGCTTCACAACATCTATTTCTAACATAATTCATCATTATTCTTCTAATAAAATGTACCTAAATGTTCAGGTAAGAATGACTATAAATTAATATAATAAAGTTTTATTTAAAAAATTTATCAAAAAATACATACAAGGTAAAATAAATAAAATGTTTAATAGACAAGATCATTAAGTAAGACGGCCTGTGCTAATGGTTTATCGTACGATTGTAAATATTCCGAAAAACAGATACGTAATTGCTTCTGAGCTAGAAAAAATATATTTGATCACTTTAATAATTGTTCATCATGAAAATAAAACATACCTGGATACTGCATAATGAGTGATTGAAATATACGTTTCGATTGTTGCTGATTAGCTTGTGAACGAATCAATGCATTGGCAATAATAATAGCAATTCTCTAGAACAAATGGCAATTAGTTGTTCTTGTTCTTTAACATCCTCAATTACTTATTATATAATGTTGTTCAGATAATGTGTAGTATCCAAAAAGATATAGAATATAATGTCGAATAATAGACGATAAATGTAAAAAACATTTACCGTCATTATTCGTTCTAAATTCCTTCCAAGAATAGAAAACCACTATGGTCATCTATTCTGATAAATAATACAAGTTGATTTTTGATCAAAAATCATGAAGGAAACCTCGACAAAAAATCATCGGCTATTCTGGAAGGGGGTTTAGCAACAATAATCAAGAAAAATGATAGAAAAAACAAAATATATACCTCATTAAGTCTGGTAAATGTTGAACAAATTGTTTCAATGATCTGATGAAGACCATTTTGTAGTCCATACTGTATACGTGCTAGTAATCCCAATGCCCATGCCCAAGATAAATATGGATATGCACGAATACCAGTCATAGAATAGATGTGTGCTTCATAAGCTTTATTCTGAAAAACAAGACAAAAATAAAGTCGCTGATTGTTAGTACACTGGTCTCATCTAAATTCGAAGGTGACGATACACTCAATTGGACCTATTATTATAATAATAGTAGTGATGTTCTCTGAATATCAATGATCAATATTAGTTAGTAGTAGAAAAAAATATTCAAAGTACATTATGAAAGTATCTAGTAAAATTGTTGTCTTACCGTGAAAATCAATGCCATACATTGAAGTAAATGTATTTCCATTGTATATGTTGAATCAGTTAATTTTGGCATTTCTTTGAGTGCAGCCAATGTTATTCTGATATCATTTGCTGACATTCCAACGGCACACAATGTTGTTACTGTCGATGAACAGGCAGGTTTTGTACTATAGCTAGAAAAAGACAAATAATAACGTTTTCCTAGTATGTTAATTATAAAAATCAAATACAAATTTATTTTACCTTTTGAAAAGACTTGCTAATGCTGCTTTTTGATCGAGTGTTATTTGAAGTAAACCAATAAATGCAAGAATAATTGAACGATCTTTATTTGATGTTTCTGACAAATCAACCGTTCTTTTGAGAACTATAAAAATCATCCAATATATTTATTAAATGTCATTTAGCAGAAGATTAAACATACGTGCTATTGCTTCTATTCGTTGACCAATTTTAACATAGCTTAGAGATATCCAGAGTAAATCGAGTAATGTGGTAGGCGCCTCTTTTTGTACAAATGTGTCCAGTGCAGATTTTGCATCACCACTTCGACTAAAAATAAGTTACATTCGACAGCAATATGGCCAGTTATCATTCTACTCACCATTGTGCACGAGCATAATCATTGCGTAGTGTATTTGATAATTTTGGAATTGTTGAACAATGAGTGTGAGCTCTAATCAAAACGAGATATAAAACAATGAATAAACATGTTTAAGGAAAAATGACATACGAATGATATGCTTTAGCTGCACTAATAAATAACTGATTAAACTCAAGAATGACAGCTAAACACTGATGGGCACTACCATCGTCCGTATAACGTTCTAAAAACAACAACAACATATGACACTATTAGCATTGCCTATTATACAAACGAAATAATCTTTTCAACTTTCAAAAGATATTTGGTATTAGACATGCATCAATTAGAACTTAGAAAGATCACTATTTTTCGCTATTAAAAGCCTTCACCAAATTTTACTACAAGAAAAATCCAGTTTCATCTCCTCTATCTGTTAACAGAATTAAAACTGTTAAATTAGCTGAAAAAGCCGTTAGAATTGATGGAATTTGCAAAAAAAAGTAGAAGTTTTAACCAATTCTAACGGATTTTTCGACTGATTTAACAGTTTTAATTCTGTTAACACATAGAAGAGATGAAACTGGATTTTTCTTGTAATCAAATTTGGTGAGGGTTTTTAATAGCGAAAAGTAGTGATCTTTATAAGTAATTGATGCATGTCTAAGTGGTATGTATAGGTCATTTTCTTGTTTAGAAACACGTACGTAGAAATTTAACGAGTGCTTCGGCGCCTTTATGGTTTCCATTCATATACTCAATTGAATAACGATATGTATCTGATGATTTTTCGTCCGGTTTGATTAATAAATCGGCTATTGATTTTCCATAGCCATACAGTCCTTGAGACTAATAATATAAGAAAACAATAATAATAATTCCGAATTATTTTTTCAAATAACACCAAATTTTTTCTCTATCTCACATGGTTCGAGAGCTCCACACAATGACGATATAAATCAGTTTTTTCACTAGGATCAATTTTTTCTGCAATTAAGGCCTATAAACATGACAAAAATAAAATTATCATTTTATTTAAACAAAAAAATATACACACACTTGTCCAGTCCAGGCAATTGAATCTTGTGGATCTAATTGTTGAGCAGTTGAAAATGCCTGATTAGCAGCCTGTATGTTGTCATGACAATAGTAAAGAAAACCAAGATTTGTATAGGCACATGATGAACGTTGTAATTGAATTGATTTAAAAAAACAATGTTGAGCAAAACCAGGTGTATGCAGATCTAAATATAAAAGCATTATGCATTGAAATTCATATAATAAGATAATGTACTGCATCTCTTCATTTTGTATAACTAACGTGGATGAGCTGCAATAACTCCAAGTGAATTCCATAGACGATAATCGTTTGTTCTTAAGGATACGGCTATTTTCATATAATTAAATGAAGTTAATAAAATTTGATCATCCAATTTAAGACGATATTGTATGTAAAGACAATGGGCTAAACATGACCAATAGAGAGGAGAACGTGGACAAAGACGAATTGCTTGCATATAACATCTATAAAAACGTAAATTTTATCTACTAATTGTCAATCATAAACAAACATTTCATACTTTTGTGCTCGTTCTAAAAGATCGATTTTATTCAAATGTATACAACCATCTGTATCTGTTGTCAATTCTGTAAGTTTTCTGGTTAAGGGTGGTAAAAGAATGTGTACAAGTTCATTTTTAACAATATGTAATAACATACAACCATCACCATATTTCTTCCATAAGCAAGCATATTCTGGTTGGAGACAAAGTGCATCATGAAAACACTAAACATAGTTATAATAACTGAATTACTAAGAATAAACAGAGAATAATTTTTTCTTACAGTAAGAGCTTTTTGAGTATTTACAACAGCTAGATGATCCTTATAACGTCCAAGATTTACATTTGCCAAAAGCATATATGCTTCACCTTTGCCTATAATCAATAGTCAACAAAATATAAATATATCATTTACTTACATTTAACATAGAAAAGTTTACCTTTTCTTGCTAAAAGATATTTAGGAGCTTGTTCAATGACATTATCGAATAATCGAACAGCTTCATCATATCGGCCAAGTAAAGTTAACGAATATCCTTCTCTTGTCAATGAATATAATGTTTGTTTTTCAAGTGCTGAAGCTTTATGATAACAAGTTAAAGCTGTACGAATATTATTTGAATGAAAATTTGCATCGCCAAGTGCCGACCATGAAGCACTACAAAAATTAAAAAAATTTTCCAATTCTAACCGATTATCATTCTTTTAACTAATCAATTTATCACTTACCCAGATTGAGGAAGTTGACGACAAACGATTTTTAAAGTTTTTAAACTCATAGAAGTATTATTCAATTGTAGAGATAATAATCCACGACGTAAATGTGCCCATGTTTTACTATTGTCCAAAGTCAATACACGTTCTAATAATGGTAAAGCTTCATCCTAAAGTATAAAATGATTTTATTAACCATAGAATACTTTGTTGAAATTTCTAACATTATTAATGAAATATATTATATTTAAAATAATTGAAAGAAATTTTTAGTAAAATCATTTTACATTCAAAGGCGAGCTTTCGACACTATCACAGTATTATCATCAGGCGAATGACTACTGAAATTTGTTTTAAGAGAGAAAAGAGAAAAATAAAATATGTAAAAGCTTCTTTCTGTTAGAACAAAAATATACTAACTGTATCGATATTGTGTTAACTATTGTTTTCTCTATCATTCTACTTTCTTCTTCTTCACCGTCCAATTGAATATGACTGTTTTTATTGAAATGTCATTATACGCCAAAGTATTCTGTTCGTACGTTATCAGTGTCTCTCTTAGTGCTCTTCTGATTTCATTTCTTTCATGTGCCAACACACATGGGGTATCTAGTTTTAATGTGTGATTGCTTTGAATCGATCAGTTCCAAATATGAACGATCTGTTATGACTACATTGAGGCGGTCATTCCATGCGAACCAGCCAAAAAACGTAAGTTCGTTACGTTTTGTGAAAGTCATAGCTCTTCAGCCGAGCAACGTACACAGTTGGGGAACGCCTTATTTTGTAGCTTAAAGATTTTTCTTTCAAATGGGAATTACGCAAAGTCTAGCTCTATCCTAAGGACCTACTCCTAATTCGTACCAATAAAGCCATTTTGTACAAAAGTGGCGTATAGCAAAAACATTATGTTACTTAAACTAATCGACTGGTAGACTTTGCTTAATTATCATTTAAAAGAAAAAATTTTAAGCTACGAAATAAGGAGTTCCCCAACCTTGTACGTTGCTTGGCTAAAGAGCTATCTATCTCACAAAACGTCGCGGACTTACGTAAAAGTGGACTTTTACATGGAATGATTGGAGGTATGTGGAGAAAAAGATGAAAAGACAATTAAAAACGTTTAAAAGTCAAAAGATATCAATATATTCTAACATTATGTTCTACTATTATTATTAGGACATTTATTATCTACTATTTGAATGATATAACTACAGAGATAATCAGATAATGACAAACTATTACATACAATTTGATCAGTTTGAATTAGGATATCAATGTAATTTATTTGAACACTATCAATATTTTCGTTTAATTCAAATGCACGTTTATAATGTGATAATACTTCGGATAAACGATGTTCAATGATATTGTAATATTCACCCATAGATGCATAACTTTCCCAATAGTATGGATCAATTTCAATAGCCTAAAAAGTTGAAACAATATTCAAGTAAACAAAGATTTGATCTATTAATGATAAAAATATGTACTTTTTTAAATGCATTTCGACATTGTAAACCATCGAATAAATGTGAATGTTGAACAGCAAGATAAGCTTTTCCTAAACTAATCCATCCATGAACATTTAATTCAAATTGTTGTTGATCATCTTCTCCTTCTTCTTTATTTTTATCTATCATTGCAGTTTGTACTCTTTAAAAATATAAAACAAGTTAAATGTATAAATAATGAAATATTTATAAATATTTACAATTTAATCACACTATCACAATCATTTTCTGCCAGATATAATTGAACTTGACAAGATAATTGTTGAATTTCATCCAGTTTATCACTTATCTTATCATAACATGCGCGTGCTTCTTCAAGTACATTTAACACTAGATAAGATTGAAATTTACCGTAATTTGCTTTATCATGAAATGCATTAGGATTAATTAATATCTATAAAATACATATGATTTACTAGACAAGTTCGATTTATCTGAGTAAATTTACTTTATTATAGGAATCAATTGCTTTTTGATATTGTGTAAGATCATGCAAAGCCATTCCCCTTGTTAATTCAACCAAGGCTTCAATAAACGGTACAACATCTGTGACAATAAAATTTTGTATTTGTGCACGATCTAGACAAAAAAAAATGTATATTAAAATGGTTTTTGTAAATATTATGTTACCATATACAAGATCTTACATTGAGTGACTGTTTCCAATGTTTGATGACCCATGTGCATATGAGCATAACACACCAATTTCAATACAGTTACAATAACTTGACCAACATTTGATTCTAAACAAAGTTGCTCACTAGAATTTTATTCTAAGATATTCATGTTAGTTTTCCAACCTGAATCAGTAGTTATCAATAATTCTAATGCATCGGAATATTTTGCATGCCGAATTAAAAAATAGGCTTTTGTTGCGAGAACTGTTGGTGAACAACTATGTTCTGCCGAAATTCTATTCAAAGCATCGCGTAAACGATCAGTTGGTGCTCGTAAATCATCTAAATAGAAATATAAAAAAATCTCGTCATTAGTACAAATAATTGAAATCGAAAACCTATAGATACTAACAAATTTTTGGAAGAATATTTTCAAGTAATATAAGTAATAAAATTTCAGCAGCAACATTGGATTGTGGAAATAACTTCAAACATTCATTACAATAATCAATTATATCAGCACTTGGACGTCCAAACTAATAAAAATAGAAAATAGTAAAATAATAAAAAGCATATAAAAAATATATTGAGTTGATTTGTTACTTTGCACAAACATCGAAGATATTGTTCATAATATTTTACTCGTTCTTCTTCCTCTACACTACTTTGTGATAACCAAAAATAACAATCACCAAGCTAAGAAAACAAATGAAATTAAAAAAAAAGTCATACTTTAAAGAATAATGAAATACGTACAAATTCGTTGAGATTTTGTGCAACAATATTCGATGGTGTTATTGAGTTTAATGTATCAATAAATAATAATCGATATTGACGTTCATCATCATTTGACAAAATTAAATTTTTTTCATTAAGTATATTGAAACATATATCCAATAGTTGAAGTTTGTTTTGATTGAGAATATTCAAAGATTTATTTTCACTCAAAACAATTTGTTTCTTTAATACTTCAATGAATTTTTTGGCAAAATCGAAAAATTTATTTGCATCACTTAAAGAAAATACAAAAGGTCTCCTGATGGAAATCTATCTCAGTAACCCATAAGATGAAAATCAAACATTTGCCTATCAAGTA